CAGGCAGGCCAGGCTCTCCGGGATATCCGGGGACACCAGGTTCTCCCAGCACTCCAGGCTCACCAGGCGGAAGCCCAGGCTCTTCGGGATATCCGGGGACACCAGGTTCTCCCGGCACTCCAGGCTCACCAGGCAGGCCAGGCTCTCCGGGATATCCGGGGACACCAGGTTCTCAAGGCATTCCAGGTTCGCCGGGTAGTCCAGGATCTCCGGGATATCCAGGAACACCAGGTTCTCCGGGCACTCCAGGTTTGCCGGGTAGTCCAGGCTCTCCGGGATATCCAGGGACACCAGGTTCTCCGGGCACTCCAGGCTCTCCGGGATATCCAGGAACACCAGATTCTCCGGGCACTCCAGGTTCGCCGGGTAGTCCAGAATCTCCGGGATATCCAGGAACACCAGGTTCTCCGGGCACTCCAGGTTCGCCGGGTAGTCCAGGCTCTCCAGGATATCCGGGGACACCAGGTTCTCCGGGTAGTTCAGGCTCTCCAGAATATCCAGGTATTCTAGGTTCTTCAAGTAGTTTAAATATTCCGAGTTTTCTTACATCTCCTGAAATTCTAGACTCACCAATTTCCTCTGGCAATCATCAACAGATATGATAATTTAAAATACTATGTAGAAACTAAAGTTTCATTATTAGTATAAATTAACGAAATCTTGTTTTAGGTCTTTGCACAGCAGAAGGCTTTTTTGCTGATCCACAAGATTGTCGCAAGTTTTATCGATGTGTCGATAATGGCAAGTCCTCCTTCACGAAATATGACTTTCGATGTGGTGATGGAACCGTCTGGGATTCGTCCGTTCAAAGTTGTAATCATGCTTATGCTGTACCAAATTGTAATCAAGCGAACGGTGCAGCTACAGACAACCCCGACACCTCGCTGAATGAAGTCGACAGTACCAAAGGGCCAGATACAAGTAAATTACCATCGCAATCTCCTGGAAGCTCCACCTTCTCACCGACATCTTCAAAACCAGAGACACAACCATCGACTCAAGCTATCAGCACTACGGACAATGCTGTTGCACCATCTCAGGCAACGTCAACTTCTTATTTGCCACCCAGTAGTACATACCCGTCTTCAACAATGCAAGTCACCGAATCCGTTTCTTATATTTCTCCTGCACAAATGACCACTACTTCTGTACCTTATTTGCCACCCTCGACTACAATTACTGGCGCGTCTGGAATGACACCTGAATCTGTTTCATATTTGCCACCGGATAGTAGTACAAAGGTCACAACAACTTCACCAAGTTCTGCATCGTCCACTGCCTCTTCGCCTCAGGGTGGAAAATCTGAGTGTACTGAAGAAGGTTTCTTCCCGGATCGTGATTGCAAAAAATTCTATCGCTGTGTACAAGGCCAATCCGGTTATCAAAAATACGAATTCGACTGTGGTCCTGGCACAGCATGGGATCAATCACTACAAACGTGTAATCATATTGAGAGAGTAACTTCATGCTCAGCAGAGAGCAATGAAATCGATCATGGCATTAGTCCCGGGACTTCTGAACCTACATCTGGACGTCCGACTACAACTGTTTCTAGTCAAACAATTACGACTACTTCACCGTCTGCAGTCCCAATTTCTACCGAAAGCGCTCCAACTGCCAGTACTCCAAGTGAAATATCTACCGAATTACCTACATCAGAGGCAGACAAAACAGAATCATCAACAACAACTACTATCACGCCCATTAGTACTAGCGAAAGTCCTCCTTCAGGAAAACCAGAAGAGATTCAAATGCCCGAAAGCTCCAGTACAGAAAGTCCACCCGAATCCTCGTCTGAATCCTCATCTACTTCTGCACCAAGTGAGGTATCGTCTTCATCCACTGAGTCACGCCCACCGGATTGTGCGACGCAAAAGCCGAGTAGCGGAATAGTATGCAACGACGAAGGGTTTTATGCGCATCCGTCTAGATGTGACAAATTCTATCGCTGCGTTAACAATGGCAATGGTTTCAACGTATATCACTTTGACTGCGCACCAGGCACTATTTTTGATCCCAGCATCAGCGTATGTAATTATCCCGAATCTGTTTATCCCGCGAGAGATTGTACCACTGGAAACATTACTTCAAGCGTGGAATCCACAACTCAAACTGGAGCACCTGAACAATCGACATCAAAGGAACCTACAACGCAGAGCACAGCTCAGCAAACAGAAGAAAGCACCACAGAGCTCGGTACGACGACTTCATCCATGGAGACTACTTCCGAAGGCGCTCCTGCTTCCGAATCAACAACATCAAGTATGCCAGAGAGTACTGAAAGCATAGAGTCTACGACTGAATCATCTGCCACTACGGAAGCCGCTACCGAATCCAGCACTTCTGAGACTAGCGAAGCCACAACCGAAGCTGCTGCTTCCACAGAGCCCGGAACGACCGAGTCTCAGGAACAGTCTACAACAGAATCCCAGGAGCAGTCGACGACTGAATCCCAGGAGCAGTCGACGACTGGATCCCAGGAACAATCGACGACTGAATCCCAGGAGCAATCAACGACCGAATCCCAGGAGCAATCGACGACTGAATCCCAGGAGCAATCGACGACGGAATCCCAAGAGCAATCGACGACCGAATCGCAGGAGCAATCCACGACGGAATCTCAGGCACAAACGACGACCGAATCATCGGAACCGGCAACAGCAGTACCAGGAGCGGCGCCTTGCGCCATAGGCAATTTGACCGACGAGCAGATCACTCTGGTTTGTCCCACCGGCTTCAGAAGGCATCCGAAATATTGCAATCTATTCTATCAGTGCACCTCCGAAGGCAACATGGAAATCAAGATCCTCGTATTGAGTTGTCCCGAGAACACAATATTTGATGAGAAGAAGATTCAATGTCTCCCCGAAAGTGAGAGCACTCAGGCATGCATGGGTACCCGAACAAGCGCTCGATTCTATAGAAGATTGGAAGAAAATGCTTTATCACCTGTAAGTGGTTTTAATCTTTTAATCAACTAAATAAACTTGTGATTCTCTGAAAATATTCATTTACAAAATGTTCCTTTGATTTCAGGTGAAGGCATCGTCGAATCAGCTTTGCCCGCAAGAAGGACATTTCCCTTACCGGCAAGGTTGCAGCAATACCTTTTACAAGTGTAAACGCGACACCCGTAACAGTTTACAGGGATACCTCTATAAATGTCCCGAGAACTTTGTTTATTGGTCGGTCTCCAGAAGATGCGAACGTGTGACACGTCTTCCGATGTGTTCGCATTTGTCGTACAGGAACAAAATCGACTGGAACGATCGATGGCAAATGCCAACCGAAGACTTTAATCTTTCCGCCAGGATGTTACACTTCTCTTGATTGCTTGACGACACCGCCTGTTTCTAGACTCTTAATGAGTTGTGCAAATTTGCCATAAATGTTCATAGACATCCCGTATCTTTAGACTAATTGCTGTCCCTGATGAAGATTTGAAATAATTGAGTACTGTGAGAATTAGCAAATTAGTAAATTAGTAAATTAATGACTTTGGATTATTAAATGGTAGATGTCTTAGAGTAACTGGATATTTATATGAATGGTCATTAATACGATATCCACGGCATTCGTTTAGCTTTTCATAAATTATGACGATTTCTAAAGTATTATTTTAATTATACTTTTTGCTTATTCTAGTGCAAGAAGTTATTTCTGCTAGTGCAATATTATCCAATAATTTACAGTACTTTGTAAAACATTTAACAACATGGCTACGGAAGATCTCGATTAAACCGTTTAATAATAGATCTTCGGTAGTCGTCTTGGATTAATCATTGTCAAACTGCCATTACGCAATTTTTAGTCAGCATTAGTTATGATAGTAAGTTTGTTAATATAATTAATAATGAAAGTATAATTTTCCGATAGGTCGAGTACTTAACAGGACAAAAAATTTTTCTTAGAATTGGAAATTATTTATTTTTGCCCATACTGTCTAATTCTATCAGATTATTAAACTTTCGTTATCACACTTATCACTAAATACAAGACGAAACATACATACGTAAAAGGAATCATATTTATAAAAGTGAATAATTTCCAATCTTTCACACATAGAATTATCGTTCAATATCTTCTTCCAATTACTAGTATCTGATACTGGGGATGGTTGCGGGACTGGTATGCAATATTCTGACTGTATAACGCGATATTTCTTATATTTATTAACTGAATCTGATATCTCGCATAGAAAATATCCGTGAAAGACGGCACATTATTAAAGAGAAATGTAGAATCTTGCTAAATGTGGCAGCTCTAGTTTTCTTTTTTAGAATATATTAGAAATGTTCACGCGCAATGTACACGCGTTTTGTACATATCTTGACAAGTAGCTCGTCATGGGAAACCAATGCTTTCTCACAGGTTTTAATGCATTTATCATGACGATATTTATAGCGTGCGAATAAATTAGGATAATTAATACTTGGTTACTTAATTCTGCGCTTCCGTTCGCGTGTTCATTATTTGATCTCTAAGTGAAATTTGTATTAATAAATAGCGTGAAAAGAATCGATAACGTATATTTTACTCTTCCGCCCTCTCACGTCAAAATACTTTTTCAGCTTACAATTTTGTTTAATATTTTGCTTCCTCATAGAGGAAGCTTTCCCAGATAGCACAGCTGATTTTTATGAATTCAAAAAGATCTGAATCTGATCTTTATGAATTCATAAAGATCAACTGTGCTATCTGGGTTGTTTTCGTAAATTCGTACATGAACCTTTGATTGCGTATAAAGTTGACTCTAATCAACCAAATTTAAAAGAATTATATATAAAATAGGGGTAGAAGAAACCAAAGAAAAGATTGTTTTTTGAGTTTTTAATGTCAATATGTTCAAAGTGTTTTAAAACGTCGAAATATTGCATTAAAAAAAATGTCGGTAAGTATGTGTGTATGTATATATGTATGTCTGTGCCAAATTTACTGAACTTTACTAATCCTGACCTCCGAGGCACAGCTCTATACATAGACAGCGATCGATTTATCCCGTCGACTTAATCCTTCAGAAAATCTTCGAAGAAAACAACGTTAATCGTCGTTGCAAATAGAACAATATTAATGCGTTCGAAGCCGTGAGAATATTTATTGATTCTGTCTAACTAAAGGCACTTAATGTCTAAACAATTAAAACATTTTAAATTTTTAATAAAACACTTTTATTTTATTCCCTTTACTAATTTCACAAATTAACTAATAAATTAAATACATCTCACTTTTATAAACAAACGTATGATCTTAATACGTTCTATATTACGCTGCTAGTCAACGAGAAAACAATAGCGACAAGTGCCGTCGGGTCGGGCACCGTTTAGCGAAAAGATTACTAGCTCTCAAAACAAACGATAAGAATCTCGAGAAATACGAACGTTTATTTTAACATTGTTATGTGTCCGTTAATGCAAATCATGCTCTCTTAAACGAGATTTGACAATAAAGAGTTTTTAAATGTTGTTGCATACGTTTTATATTTCAGTATGCGAAACTTTATAATAAAAATAAATTATTCAAAAGAACATAATTAATAACTATATTAATAATTAAATTAATAGAATACTGTAATCTAAAATAATAATTAAAAAATAGCAAGAATTTAATTATGCATCAGTAGAAACGTTAGAAGACAATAAAAGTTAATAGAAGAATTAATTCGGATGATAAAGTAGGCGAAACTCAGGTTTCGCACCGCGAGAAATCTCGGAAATTTACTCCTGATATATCAGGAAAGCATGAGAGCGAGGAGGTTGTCCGGATTGCAGTAGGTACTCTGCGGGTGTTTTGAAATGCGAAATGCGCTGAACGACACTGGGTCATATCTCGAGAAATATATTCATTTTAACATTGTTATACAAATCATGCTCTCTCAAACGAGATTTGACAATAAAGAGTTTTAAAATGCTGTTGCATACGTTTTACATTTCAGTATGCGAAACTTTCTGCCGCATTTTGCGTTTGCATAAATTATTCAAAAGGACATAATTACATAAGTAACTATATTAATAATTAGATTAATAGAATACTGTAATCTAATAGCAAGAATTTAATTATATGCATCAGTAGAGACGTTAGAAGACAATAAAGGTTAATAGAAGAATTAATTCGGATGATAAAATAGGCGAAACTCAGGTTTCGCACCGCGAAATCTCGGAAATTTACTCCTGATATATCAGGC